TATAGCACCCAGCCATTCAAAGTCTATTTACCTTGATGACATTTGCCTATTCTGACATTAAGCAGTGGAAGAAAACAAAGTAACATATGTGATTAAAAACAAAAAATTTAAAAAATGAGACAGAAAATTATCTAGAAGTTTAATTAACTAAAATTAAGAATACAATAAATAGATTTAAAAAGCAAAGTAGAGAGTGAATTAATAAGTTGGAAAGTAGAAGACATTAGCCATAAGCATGACAGAAAAATCAATTTTAAATTAATAAATGATTAATAATTCTTAAATTATTAAGTATCTTAGAGAAAACAGTGAAAATATATGTATATAAATAAATAATTGGTGGCCCAGGAAGAGCTAATGTATGAAAATATAGTAGAATCAAACTTTCCAGAAGTAATGAATCACAATAAGTTGTAGATATAATAACACCTGCTGAGGAATTTTAATAGGATTTATCTGCTGATGATTTTATATTACAAAAAATACACAGCAAAATTACCTCCTGAAGACCCTATACTAGGGTCTCCTGTGTATAAATATGGATGAGAAACTTGCAACTCTCAGATGAGTATGCAAATTAGTGAATAAAATAAGTACATGAATTGAATAGGCTGTAAGAGAACTATAAATGTGGAGAGCGCAAAACAGAGAATTTATTTCCCCAACAAAATGGTATGTACTCACAGGTAACAGTAGGATAAGAAGTAAATGTGCACCTATGTATTCCCCCTTGCATTTACAGCAAAATGAACACTCTTTTTAAAAATTAATGAAGCAGTCCTTCAAAAAATTCTGATGCTAATTTCAATGAGCCTACAATACTCAAAATATATGAGATATTATAAATCTAGAGGCATGGTTTTCTTTAGTTCTTTGAATAGAATTCTAATGGCACATTTAAAGACTTTGTCTATTAAGTCCAATACCTAAGTAGTTTTAACTTTGCTACATTTCTTTATCCTATGTATGGATCATATTTTCCTGATTTTTAAATCTAATAGTTCTTTTTCTCTTTATAGGAACTGGACATTTAAAATAATGTAATAAGTAGCAACATGAGAAATCCCTCCAAAATTGTTGTTGCTGCTTTTAAATATGATTATTGTTGCTATTTGTTTAGGAACATTTAATGTAGTAACTTTGTTAGACTAAATCTGTATGTACTGTCACATACAGCTTCTGAAGTCTCTTACAGGAGTTATTTAGTAGTCTTCTAATGACTGGACAGAGATTTCCTTAAATACCTTGAATTGAAAAGTCTTCCACCCTTTTTCAAGGGGCTCAGGTGTGGGACGCAATATCAAAGCTGCCAGTTTACAATTCTACCATAGCCTTCACTTTTCTGCTTGTGTACAATTCAAGGTCAGCTAGAGATTAGAGTCTTTTCAGGTCTTCTTAGGGCAGGTATGTGACCTTTAAGAACTCCAGGAGTAACTTAAAAAGTCAGAGGTTTTGTTTTGTTACTTTTTTTTTTTTTTGGCGGTGCTGAGGACTGAATTCAGGCCTTGTGCATGGTAGCAAATGCAAAACCACTGACTTACAGGCCCAGCCCCCAAAGTCAGAGCTTTTTAAAACCAACTACGGTAAACATTTTCTTCTTGTTTGTTTGTTTATTGCCATTCTCTTGTTTGCCCCAACTAATATTTCAGTCCAAGGCAGCTGAGAAGATAAACAGTTTGTTTATCTGAAAGCCCTGAAAGTCAGGACTTGGCAGGAAGCTATCAGGTCAAATAGTAACAAATATCTAGGGACATGCCTCCTGTTTAGTTTCAAATTTTATCTTACTCCTTCAGTGGCTTCTATATCATGGGTTTTCACAGTGTGTGTCAGGTGGAGGCTCAGACCCAGGAAAACAGATTCAGGATCCCAGCAGCTTGAAGAAGATGCAAGACACAGTTGGGATAGTAGATATTTGTTATTTAGAGGTGGCAGCAACCCCTAGCCTGTAGCATTAGCTTAATTTCTGCCCCAGCCACTTCCATTTAGCCTCCTCCTCCATTACCATTGGCCATTTTTATATGCAGTTCAGACGGAGAAGGCACATTGCCAACAGATTACTTAAGTGGGTGCATGCTCACAAGCGAATGTTTATGAGGACAAATACATACGCCAAATCAGGGTGTTCAGGACCTTGGCTACATACTAAAATCACAGCCCACTTGAAGTCTCATCAAGGAAGCCTAACTATATCCACTTTGGGCTTGCCCTACAGTGTGGCTGTCTAGTTATAAGATTTTCAAGCTTTTTTGCAGCTGGGGAGAGGAGGATGGGAATAGAGCAAGTTAAAACTTCAAAGTGTGAAATATGATATATCAAGAAATTTGTAATGTTTTGAACAACCAACAATAAAAAAATTAAAAAAAAAAAAAACTTCACAAGGTTGACTGTTCTTAATACAATTTAATCATTTGTCTTGAATAAATGCTTGGATTGTTAAAAGTCTTTGGTTAGTATCCAGAGTGCTAAAAAAGTTTATTTTGAAAAATTTTGCTAGTGTTTTCACTACCTTTATGAAAAAGCTAATTTGTGGAGGTTCTAATTTCACCATTCCAGCAGTCCTGCTTAGAGTTTTCTTTCAAAGACTATCAGAATCTTACAGAACTTGTAGAAAAGTTGCATAATTTCTGAATTCTATCCTGTTTCATTAGTCCTTTTGACTATATATACCCAAAACAATACTATACAGTTTTAATTACACCAAATATCTTTCTGCCTCTGAAGCTTTGCTGTGCCTTGAAAACTTTCCTCCTGCCTGACACACTCTTTCCCTAGCCATCCACAAGGTGAATTCTTCAACCTATGCGGGTCTAAGTTTAAATGCTGGCTCCATAAAGAGCTCTCACCTGACTACCCTCACTCTCTAGCTACTTATACAGCTTTATTTTCAGGACACTAATAGTCGCTTGGCATTATATTATACATTTATTAGTTTCCTATCCATCTTCTTTACAAGATGGTAATCTTGAAAATTTCTTTGTCCATAACAGAAATAAGAACTGTGCCTGGAATGCAGCAGGTAATCATTTCAATTATGTAGAACAGCAAAGAATAAATTTGACCACAGCCACTTACTTGATTATCCTGTTGGTTCAAATAGAACAGATTTGAGGTTCAGCTGGCTCCCAAGAAAAAAAGGAATTTATTTATTTGTCAATTTCCTAGGACAGGACCATGAAGTTTTAAAGGGCTATTGGAATGACAGTTGTTTGGTTGTAGTAAAATCATATGAAAATAAGAATCTATTTACAGATGACTTTGACTGCATTTGATATACCACTTTACTTTTGAAAACCTTAAAGTTACAATATTGTTCTTTCTTTTTTAACAATAATTCTTTATTTTTATTAATTTTTTTGTAGTTGTAGATGGACAGCATGCTTTTATTTTATTTGTTTCATTTTTATGTGGTGCTAAGGATCAAACGCAGTGCCTCACACATGCTAGGCAAGTGCTCTACCACTGAGCTATAGCTTAGCCCCCCAACAACACTGTTCTTTCTGATAGATATTTCCTGTGCAATTCTTTTAGCTACATGGCAATTAAACACAAATACAAAACACACACACACACACACACACACACACATATCTCTAGCAAAACCTTCAAGCATTTCTAAGAAAATAAACACAATGTATTGTAACATGCTTGGATTATCTTCACAATACTCTGAAACTACATGGGACAGATTTTAAAGTTTATTATATATATTACAGTTTGTCTTGCAGACTGCTGACAAACCAAAGGAGAAGTATGCTCTTTACACATGTATTTTTATTTGAATGATGAATATGTGCTGATTCACTCATGCCCTCTTGCTCAATTTCATGGTGAACAATGGCCTACATCTATGTGAGGTTGAAGAAGTGAACTATAGTCCAAAATATATATTTTAGATAAACTCTACCAAATAAGGAAAAATAAACAATAATCTTTCCCTTGCTGGCATGAAATTTCAAACTGAAAAGATGAACAATTGGATACTCAATATATATTCGTTGATACTAATAAGAGGTTACAGTAAGAATCAGAAGGTAATTATTAGTTTAATGAAAAATAAACAAACAAAAAGATCTGTGATTACACTATTGTTATCTCACTATAAATATAACCTATAGAACTACAGATAGTTAGCATGTGTTCTTGAGAATGAATTTAACTGGCATCCTCAAAAAAAAAACTAACATAGTCCTGGATATTGGAAACATGAAATTTTTAGGGCTTCATGAAGACTAGTCTTAAAAAATTTATTAGGTTGATTGTTTTGAAAGGGTAAGCACTTTGGTTACATTTATAACAACATATTTATACATTTATAACAATTTAATGCTACAAAAGTAAGGCATCCATGAAAGTTATCATTTGCTTTTATATATTTGCTTAAGGGATGATTTGTTCAAGTATCTCTGCCCACACAAAGAAAAGACTAAATGGAGGTAAAATAGAACCATACAAATTCAATTATGGAAAATGAAATTTAGGTCAGGTTTTTACTTGTTCACACAAGGGCTAAAATGTTACTTTGTATATAGGACATGCTTGTATCTGTGTATGTCCTTTATGAGACACAGAGTATATTTTTGAGGTTTTATTAATTATTGTTAACAATTAAAGGTACATAGATGTACAATTAGACTTATAAATTATTTGAATCAAACTGGTTTCTATATAAATATATTACTTTGTATTGATTATGTGTGTGAGAGGAAAAAAAGAAAGAACAAAAATAAAAAATCTTAGAATTTTACTATAGTTGCAATGTAAAGGTAGATCCGACTTGTGAAAATAGAGTAAAAGATAAAATACATTACAAAATGTTTAATAGAAGAAAGAAAAGGAACATTAAAATATTAAAAATTACTAGTTTTAAACATTAATATAAAAAAAACTAAACACTGCTGAGTCTACTAAGGTAATTTCAAGTAAGACAAAATAATAGTAAGGCTACTTTATTTAGAGAAAAATAAGAAAAAAAATGTTTTCAAAAAGTTTATTTTACTAACCTGACTTATTTTTCTTTGTTCTTGTATAGCTGTTTGAATTGCCTGGGATACTTTTTCTTGATCTTTTGCATGTTCTGTCTTCCATAATTCCCTTTCTTCAGCATGGGCTTTTTCCAAATTTTTTCGTTCTTCTTCTACTGCTTTCATAACTATCTCCTTCACTGCTTCTTTCTCAAGCTTCCAAACAAATAATGACCAAAACAAAAATATTTCCATGACTGACCTGGTTAACCCAAAACATAATTTGATCTTATACAGTTTAATTCTCACTTGCTATTTTTATTCTTATTAAACAGTTACATAAAATCATATTGTTCTTTTTCATTCCTACTTATTAAAATCCCTACTTATTTCCCAGGCATTTGTATACTTCAAAGAAGTCAAGCCTTTGTTTAGAGTAGCAGATTTCAAACTGGTCGTAAAACTCCTTTACTCAATAACTGAAAAGTTATTGAGTGTATCAAGAGGTTTTGTTTATGCTGGAGATATATCTATATATCTAGATATATATAGATATAGATATTGAAATTCATTTAAAATTAAAAACTACTGTTTCCAAAATTTAAAAAGTGAGAAGAATGTTGTTTGTAAACTTCTTTAATCTTTTTAATATCTGACTTAGTAGAAGACTGCTAGATTCTCCTACCTTCCTTCTGTATTAAATCTGTAATGATAGGTTTTGGTTAAAGTACATAAGGAAAATTCAGTCTTGTAAAAATAGATGGTTAAAAAGCCAGAGGGAGAAATATTTAGTTAGTTTAGGTAACTACAGATGTTCTTGATTATTTCATACCAGAATTTTTTCATACTGTTATATTACAATTCTTTCTTATACTTTGAATGAATTCTTTATCAACACATGACTTTCAAATGTGTTATTTAAAAAATATTGATCGACACATTTCTTTATATATAACAGGAAAATAACATTTGTTAATATTATCTATCTAATCATAAAAGTCTTGAAGTACTGGAAAACAGATTCAAATTTTCCAGATTTTAATTTTAATTTTCACTACTTCACAGTCCATTTCAAAGTTAGAGCTTTCTATTTTGTTCTCTAATCCATGCTCTGGGAGTTTAGAACCTGGTCTTCTTTGTTATCCACACCAAACGTATGTTGATTTTATCTTCTCTTTCTAGAATTAGTCTATTTCCTTAATTTCCAATCTACTCTTAGTCTATTTTTAACACTCTCTCTAACCCTGACTTTAGATGTACTCCATTAATTCCTTCCCTACTTCAAGCTTGTGATTTCCCAAATTTTCCCCAAATTAATGTCATACTTGTGCTAAAAAAAATTCAACATGTCTTCCATATTTATGAAATCAAACTCAGTTCAGGATGCTAGCCACCCTTTAAAGGGACATTTCAAAAGTAATTTATTGTTTAAAAACTTCTATGACATGAACATACCATCTACATGTTCCCCGTAGTTTAATTAGTTCCTCCTTGCCTTATTAGCATATAAGTAATATATTTTTTCTTAATGGGTTAAAATTCTTTATGACAAAATCAGTCATCTTTAGATTTGCAACCTTGGCATAGTAGTATGCACATGCACGTAAGAGTCATTCAGTATCTATTAACTAAATTTAATTTAAAATCCAAAACTTCAAAGTTAGTATTATAAACACATTTGTTAATATACATGTATATTAATATACATGTATATTAACCCACACAAACACCGATACATGCTCTGTATCCTACCAGGTGGATATTAGTGTTCTAACATATGTTCATTTTAATATGTAATTAACAACATATATTTAAAAGCATTTTGGTGCCATCAGGATCTTATGTAATATGAATTTAACAAAAATGTAAAAAGTCATATCCCGAGTTTAAGAGGAAAGAAACATTTTTTGAATGAAACATTATAATAAGTAGACTTAAAGAATTAATGAATAGTTTTCAACTCCACTTATTTATAGAGAAAAGAAACCCATTATTACAGATGAAAATACCTTTGCAGCAGACACCAATGCCTCTTTATTTTTTTGCCTTTCTTCCTCCAAACATTTTTCTAGTATTTCCTGTAAATGATGATAGTGAGAAAGAACCTAAATGAATTATTTGAAGTAATAAAATACATTCTTTCCATACTCTGAGCACACTTAAAATATTACCTTCTGTTCTTGAGATTGCTGAATCAAAGCTTCCTTTATTTTTTCTTTAAACAGATCTTTCTCTGTATCTAGCATTTCAAGGAGCCTCTGATGCTAAAAGGAAAAAATAACTGAATTATGATTGTGACTCTGATACAGATAATATATCAAGAAGAAAAACAGCTGATAAAATTTATTTGCCCAGAAGCACTGAAGTAGTTACTAGAGGAAACAAGTGGAAATATGCTCAAAATGGAGGTGGAGGAACCCAAGACAGTGAATTCACCTTTCTGCAATCAGCCTAAATATATTTTTTAGCCCCCCAAGTTCGGTAAACAACAAGTTCAGTAATCTGATTTAGGAAAAAATACTCTAAATTAGAAAGTTAATCAGAAAGTGATAAAATATCTTTTTCCAAAATTAAATTTGGAAGAATATTTCCCTAAAATGATTATTATCTTGTAGCAACAAAAGTGATCAGATTGTAACTGAGAAAAACTGTTTGCGTAATGAGCAACTATTATACTATATTATTTATTTCTAGTAAAGCACTGTGGAGAAGACTGAAAGATTTATTAATAGTTCTTGTCCCAAGATTTAACCAGTTTCACAAAATTAATCTATGAAGTCATCCCAACAATATGATGTCAACATTTGCGGGGTGGAAGTGCCGGGATTGAACTCAAGGGCACTTAACCACGGAGCCACATCCCCAGCCTTTTGTGTATTTTATTTACAGACAGAATCTCACTGAGTTGCTTAGTGCCTCACCACTGCTGAGGTTGGCTTTGAATTTGTGATCCTCCTGCCTCAGCCTGCAAAGCTGTTGGGATTTACAGGCGTGAGCAACCGCGTGCAGCCCAAGTATCTACTTGTATTATAATATGCTAATAAAAAAAGCATAGAACTATTGGGCAGTTATCACGGACTAAGTGCTTGGAGTCTGAATACAGCTTTCTAAGAAAATTAGACTTATAGCCTTCAATATCTCGAATAAAGATAAGCCATATACTGTTCTGAATCAATGCTCTGATATAAATACAAAACTAAATATTGCTATTCACTTATATTTCTCATTAAGTTAATGCAGCAAATAAAATATTTTTTTCAGATTTTGTAGGTAGAAACATCAAAACACCCTTTAAACATAAACTCATTTTGATATTCCACATTTTAAAACAGATTTATGTCTTTCAAAGTTGTTTTGGTTTGAAACATTTAAAGCACTTTTTAACAGTGAATAAATAGTCCATGTCTATTTAAGATAGTCTGTTTTTCTTGTTTTTAATTGTAATGTTACTTTTCATTTAAGTTTTCAAGAGTAATAAAAATCACATGAAAGATGTGGTTTTTCCTTAAAAAGCAAATCTAAACTGTGATACAAATCATGACATGATTCTGAGAAATTACTACCATGTGAATTTATAAAATGCAGCTGAAAAACAAATGAGTATTCTGTATAAGTAATAATACCTGAGACTTTAATTTTGTATTCTAAGTAGGTCTATATGCACAAAAAATTTCATAGGACCACAAATAATACTTAATCTATCTTAAACACACACATGAGAAAATGAACAGATATATCAGGAAAATAATTAAACTTAATATGAAAAATATGAATCTCATGAAATTAATAATAGTCAATTTAGGTTTATAGAGGGGATAATATAACAAATAGAACAAATAAAAATGCGGATGCTAATTCACAATGGGAGGGGCACTAGGGAAGAACAGAGTTACCTTAGATTAGGTAGAGGAGAGTGAAGGGAGGAAAGGAAAGGGGACATAGGGATAGGAAGGTTATTAGAATGAAACAAACTATATATATATATATATATATACTGCATGACCAATATGATTCTACAACATGTATAATCAGAAAAGTGAGAAATTATATCCCATCTATGTATATCAAAGTGCTTAAATGATTCTGTCATATATAACTAATTAAAACAAAAAAGTTAAATCACTGAATCAAGACACAGAATGAAGCCTTCATCAAAAATAACTCTGAAATTAATTTTTCCTTAAAATAAAAAAATCTATTATGACAGCAAGGCACATTAATGCAGTCATTAAGTAATTAATTACAAGTGGGCCAAGTTTCCTCAGTCATCCAACAAGAACTAAATACAAAGAGGATACATTAGCTAAAATGACAATTTTTATAAAATTCATTTTGAATGACAATTCTTAATTCTGACGCTATGCTATATAGAGGACAGCATTCAAGCCTGCTTGCACAAAAATAAACCCGAAATTATCGTTTGAAACAAACATTCTACTTAAAATATGCCTGAAATGAATTAATGGATCTGCTTGGGAAAAAAATACAATTAGGTTAGTGGCTTTTCTCATTCATTATTTTAAACACAAGGCACTGTTAAATAGTGCTTTACACGAAGTAGTACCACAAAACCCTTCCAAAAAACCTGCTATATTTGGGTAACTTGCCAGATTTTTAATGAATCATTTCAACAATACTCATATTCTATTTACATGTTACCAGAAGAGGTAATTATTTAGTAGCTAAAATTAGCTCCAGTACTTCATAGTTATTACCTATAATAACTAAAAGCTGCATGATATAAGTAGTATGTTAGGTAACACTTCACTTCCATTTGGTTATAATAACATATGTGCCTTTATTCTTTTTAGAGTACTATTAAACTAAGATATAAGTTCTGGTCTTTCTCATTCTTCCTCTCTTTTTACGCATGGGAGGAGGGGATAAAGGGTGGATTAGAAGAGTGGATATCATATTCATCTAGATTTAAAAATCAGTTTTTAGAAGATTTTAATATTTTGTGGGGATATTATATCTAGGTACAATGTAAGGAACTTTACAAATGTTATTAGTGAATGTTCACAATAACTTAGAAATGTGTTATTACTTATTATCAATTTTAAAATTAAGTTACAGCTACGTCAACTGCTTTGGTTCAAAGGACTAAGAAATGGTTAAGTTGTAACTCAGACTCAGGAAGAGCTGAATACAAAGAGCATGGGATTCTCTAGAAATCTGAGGACTCTCAGATCTCTACTCCATCACCATGAATTGTATCATTGACTTTTTGGATTAGTCATATAATCATACTACTTATCTAGCCTTAAAATTTATAGGAAAAAAAAACTTTTCAAAAAACCCTGTAGTTATTGAGATTATGGTGAGTGCCTCAACTCTATTTCCCACTCCCTCTCCCAGGTCAAGATACAGTAACAGAGACTGTTTAAAACTACAAACCTAGAAGGGAATGAGGAATCATTCGTTCTTGACAGATATACTTTTTGGAAAGTAAGAATGTAAGACATTTAGATAGCTGAGTTTCACCCACTATAATGCCAAGAAATACATAGCAATAAGTAATTTATTCAGCAGTTAACAAACAAGTTGACTTGTTTACAAAGATCATACATTCAGAGAAAGAGAATATTCTGTGGAAAAAAACAGGGACTAATATCCAAGCCACAATTATAAACTCTGTCTTATACATTTCTGTAAGTGAATAAATGTATTCTTCAGTTTAATTTGTATTCTGGGGATATATCTCTTAAGAGGCAGCATACTCTATCAGATTTATCATAGGCATTGAGACCAACTCACTGTTGTGTGGAGTTCACTCACCAGTTTTTTACTTACCAACAGTACAAGTTAATTTTTCTAAGTCTCCAGTTTTGTTTACTTTTTTTTAAATGTAATGCTAGTAATGCCAACTTCATGGTATCATGAAAATTAAACTAAGTAATGTAAGTGATGTATCTGTCACTCAAAAATGTTAACTAGACTTCCCGTTGGATAGTTTACACAATTATGACAATTAAGTTCACTTATGAAAATAAGTGTTGTGCATATGAAGGAAAATATTAGTTTCTACTGAAAATAAAATGCTTCAGAAGGAATGTTCATATACTTTTGCAAAAAAAAATATTTTTTTTTGTATAGAAAAACAAGTATCAAAGTATCTCTCCCTAACATATAATACATTAACTTTTATAGTACAGACCAATGTCAATCAAAGAAAAGCAGCAGTTTGGGCATTCTGTCTTGAAACCTCTATCTTGAAACTTTTCAAATTTTTATTTTATATCCATAAAAATTAGGATTACAATGTATTTTTTTGTTTACAGTGTGACTGTTGTCTTTCATAGCTTTTATAACTATAATAGTGGGTAGGAAATAGTATCTCATGGTTTTTAATTGTATATCTCTAATGACTAAGGGTGTGATGCATCTTTTAAAATGCTATGGTATTTTCTGATACTATAGCAACAACTCTTGTAGTATCTGCACAAAAAGGGAAATCATTAGAGTGCTTTTGCAGCCTTTGTAAGGGACTGCAGGAAAAAGTGTATGGTTTGAAGTCTGTCTGTTGTCTGACTTCTGCCAGAAGTAGCAATGCCTTTCCTTTCTGGGGCAGAGCTTATTTGGGTTATTTAATCACAATAAGTTAGAAATTATAAAGTATCAAGATAGAGCGTGGCCAAAAAGCTTTTCAATCCCTTTATTCTATCTAACATATAAACCATATCTGGAAATTGCCCTTATTTCTCTTACCTTCCATGTCAATATGAAGCTCTTTAAATATCTGGGCATTCCATCACCCCAGAAATGGTTTCCTTGGGGTGGCTGAGGAAGGGTTGATACTATTCCACCTTACTAGCTAACTAAGGTAGGGATGTTTTAAAAATTAACTGTTGCATACCTTAGAGCAGAAATTCAAAGCAAAGGCAACATCATAAAATTCATAAGGATAATTTTTAAAAATCTTATTCAAGACACCAAACTACAGGATTGTCTCTGTTCTTAATAGAGACATCAAAACATTTATAAACAAAGAAGCGATTCCAACAGATTTTTTAAATCTTACATGTTCTCTACACTTACAGTAGTTATTTTTTTATTTTTACCTGGGATTGAACTCAGGGACACTCAACCACTTAGGCACATCCCCAGTCCTATTTTGTATTTTATTTAGAGATAGGGTCTCACTGAGTTGCTTAGCACCTCACTTTTGCTGAGGCTGGCTTTGAAATCACAATCCTCCTGTCTCTTCCTCCTGAGCCACTGGGATTACAGGCATGCACCACCACACCCGGCCTACAGTAGTTAT